TTCACATCCAAATTTGCAGCTCCGGGCTGAGTTTTAATTATTCCTTTTTACCCTCAGGGCAGAGAAAACACTTGGGACAATGATTTGAGCTGCTAATGAAGCAGCTCCAGGATCTTCTCACTGATCTTCTCACTGATGTTCTGCTCTCAGGACACCTTGGAGGCCCCAAGACCCAGAGAGGAAAGAGAGAAGCAGCTCTCCAGGGAGGAGGTTGCAATGCTGGGAACAGGATTTAGCCCTTGATTTTGGACAGCCATAAACCTGTTCCCTTACCTGGACACAAGTGGGGCTGCAAACCCATCCTGAGGCAAGGCTGACCTCTAGTGCCACATCCTTGCTCTGGAAATCCAGGTATGAAATGGAATGAAGGCAATGGATGATGGCATTACAAATCAAAGTGCAAATAAAAATAGAGAATAAATACAGAAAACAGAGAAAATTAGATGGAAAAATCTAAAGATGGTTTAGATATTAGAAATTGAATTCATACAAATTGTATCAAATCACAGCCATGGCTCTTGATGTGCCCAGCACCAAGGGCACCAAATCTCAGAGGCAGCAGCATCAGCTGATGAACCAAGGCCCAGCCTGGCTGTCCCTGCCCTTCCCTGACTCCTAAAAATCTTCTTTTCCCACATTTAGGGGATCCAGGAGAGTTATCATTTGCCCAGCATCACTCTCACAGCAGCCAACCCTAACAAATCATTAGAGGCTAAATCATCTCCAGGGACGAGCTGCTGCATTCAAATACAGCTCAAAGGGAAAGGAAAACCCTTTTTCAATGGGGTATCCAGAGTTTTGAGGCACCAAACCCTAAATCACCAGCACTTTTAAGGCAGGAGGGCCCTCTCGTGGCTGTGGCCATGGTGGGAGGGGAGGGCGAGGCAGCGACCACAGATTCAGTGGCACATTTCGCTTCTTCATTCACTCCTCGGCACCAAAACAAGCCCAAATCTCCCCCTTTTCACAGGAACAACCATTTCCCTGAGCCCCCTCACCAACCTCCACAGCCAGGATGGTTTCTCTGAAGGTACCTTGGCAGGACAGGGGCCAGGACTCTGATTTAAAGCCCAGCTGCTTTTCTGGCAGGCATTCCCACCCACCTGATCACTTTAAATGAAAACGACTGGAAATGTTCCTTTTGCTGTGGGGTGGCGTTTGAGCTGCAGGACCCCTTCAGTTCCACTTTCCCAGAAATTCCCAGGGTGGATTTAGGGTTGCTGGATTTAGGGTTTCCCACCGCAGCGTAGGGCAGCACTGACATCTAGCGGCCTCAATTTTGGGCATTGGAGCTGCTTCATTAGCAGCTCAAATAATTATCCTAAGTGTTTTCTCTGCGCTGAGGGCAAAAAGGACAACTAAAACTCAGCCTGGAGCTGCAAATTTGGATGTGACCCCATTTGCAGAGCAAGGAGGGGACAGCAAAGCATCACAAACTCCCCCGAAAAGCAGGGAGAGGAATAGCAGATTTATCTTTACAAACAAGATGTGGGTCTGCTGGTAGGTAAAACTAGCACTTGGATACTCCAGTTCACTAAAGAAATTGTTTTAAATAGAGCATCTGAGAATTTTAGGCCAAAGATAGAGCAGAAAGGTGGGTAAGGCAGGGGAAGCTGCCACTCAAGCAGTTGATTTGGGCTAAAATCTTGGTATATCAGAGGCTTCTCACCCAAAAGTTCAGGCTGTGCTCTCCCAACTCCCCATCACCTGGGCAGGAAGGAAGGAAGATCCTCTCCAGGGACTGAGGATGGGTCAGAGTGCATTGTTAGTCAGCTTTCCAGGAAATAAAATGAAATAACATTTTCTTGGAGGAAGAAACCCAGCTGGGTCTAGGTAGGGTCATTGGAGTTTGGGGTTGGAGGAGATAAAAGAAACAATGGGAAGGATTCCACTGATTGATGAATGCAAAAAGATATTTGCCTTTACAAATAAACTTTAGGTTTGCTAATAAATGAAATTAGACATTGAAAGATGAAGGAAACAATGGGGGGGGGGGGAATAAATTCTGTAAGAATTAAGAATTAAAAGGGACGGTTATACATTAGAGGGGAATCTTTGGGATCACGCATTCCAGGAAGTCTGATTCTCTCAAGTACCTCAAAAATGGGGAAAGAGAGAAAGGAAATATGGCCGGGAAATTGGGATAAAAAGGAGGCTGCATCCTCCAAAAATTTGAGAGATCCCAGGGGAAAGCCCCATGGCCTCTCCCTTTATGGGAATAAAGTAAAAGGACTCTTCTGTCTCCTTTTTGGACATAAACCTCTGGTGTTTGTAAATTAATTTTCCTGACAGTGGCAATTTTGCTGCAGCAGAGTGGGAGCAGCAAACGCAGCACGGGTCTCACCTTGGGAGCCAGAAATGCCTCCCAAAATCCCGGGAGCTGCGTGCTGGGCAGGAGCAGCCCCGGGAGGGGACAGGAGGGACCCTGCAGGGCTGGGGACCCGCGGGGGGAGCGGGCAGAGCTTTCCAGGCTGTTTGATCAAAAGGGTCTCTAAAGCCCAAGGCTGAGCAGTTAATGGCTTTCACATGCTCGGGCAGCCCCAGGAAACGCGGGCAGAGGGCGAGCTTTGGTGAGGGGTGAAGAAGCAGGAACCCCAAAAAGTCCTGAGGCTCCTCACCGTTTGCGGGGAGAGGATGCTGAGCGGCAGCCAGGTGAGGTTTTGCTCCTTCCCAGCTCTTTCTCTTTTGGGCTGGTTCGTAACGAGCCCGGCGAGGCTACAAGGAATTCCAGCTACTGTTTGCAGGGCGAGCCGCTAATGAAAAGCAGCGGTGCCTCGGAGCTAAGATGCAAGCGCGTCCTCCCAGATCAAAGATGCAGCTCCGGGAGCGGAAAGCCGGCAATAAATGACATCCTGTTGCCTGCAGCCGTACCTGGCCCGGTTCAGAGCCGGGGCAGAGCCTCCCCTCCCGCGGGAAGGGAGAGCCCTGGAGGTGTTGGCACCTTCCGAGGGGTTCGGGGTTGGAGCAGGCACAGTCAGGGCTCACTTTTGGCTTCTGGTCCTGGCTCTGCGCTTTCCTGCTGGTGTTAAAACACAAACTGTGCCCAGCTCGGTGAAGCTGGAGAGGGAGGAAAACCCACCCGAGTCAGTGGAAAGAAGCAGCTCCAGCTGCAGGCTGAGCTCCCTGCCAGGAGAGGAGGGGGCTGCCGAGAAAGGCTCTGGGTTTGGAAGGACCCCATTAGAGATGGAGATACATCCCAGACCAAACTCCACTGGACCTGGGCTTGCTTTCCTCCCTTCCTGCAGTTCTCTGGCCACCCAACATCTGGATTTTAAGTGTCCCCTTCCACACCTGTGTCACTGTCCACCACAAGCATCCAAAATTGGTTTTCATTATTATTTCCCCCTCTGCTAGGCTCGCAACCCCCACACCTTAAAAAGGAGTGAGCAGAGCCGTGGCCCCAGGGCAGCTGCTGTTTGAGCCAGGGCTGTGTGTTTACTATAGGTTGGGATGTGGCTTTTAAGAGGAGATAATAACAGAGAGGGGGATGTAAATACATCCTGGAGTAAAGGGAGAGCAGCCCTAACCCCACTCCTCATTACTCAGCACTGACCAGACTCTGGTTTCCCAGGAATCCTGAGGTGCCAAACGCTGCTTGGCTTTTTCCATTCTTTTTCAGATGAGGCTGAGGGGTGAAAAAAATCAAGTGTGGAGGAGCTGGTCCTTGGGCTGGTACACACAGCAAGGCTAAAGGAGCCCAGGATGGATCCACCACCCCCAAACTGCTGCAAGGACGTCCCAGGATGTTCCAGTGCCGCACAAAGGGCGCTCCAGAGGCCAGGAATTTCATGAACTAATGGAGAAGGAGGGCTTAAGAGGAAAGAAGGAGTAATATATACGTAGTGATTTCCCTTCCTCCGTGACAGCCGGTTGTTCCCTGTTTCTGAGTGGGTTCCCAGCCAGGGACAGAATGTTTCTGCCCATCTCCTGGTGCTTGCCACGCTGAGCACACAGCAGCTACCTGGATTTACAGCCTGAGACTTTGCTATTGCTGCGGGGTTTTTCCTCGCTGCAAGAGAATTCAGTTGGGAATTCCAACTCAGTCTGAAATGGGGTGAATGAAGGGTTTGTAAATGAAGTCACACAACACACACAGAGCGAAACAAACAAAGAGCAACAGGAGGAGCTGGCTGCATTGTATTATTCTCATAGGTATTTTCCACAAGTCTGATTTAGCCGGTTGTCTTATTCCAGCTGGAGGAAACCCCATGTGGATCCAGCTGTTGGTTCAGAGCATGGAAACTCCTTGTACGTGTGTCCTGCTGGAGTTTTCCCTGGGGCCCAAAGCCCTCTCTGTCCCTGGCTAGGGGAAGGACATGGGAACCTCCCGAGGCACCTTCTGAAACGAGATGCTCTCCAGCTGGCATGGGCCCGGTGCTTTCCAGCTGGGAGGGGATGCTGAGAATCAGCGCTCTGGAGTAAACCCTTCCGTGCCGGTGGAGGGGGAAGTGTGCCAGCCCCTCTCCCGAGGGCTGGACCCCCGGCGCCCAGGAAGGATCAGACCCGTGCGGGCAGCGCTGGGGCTGAAGAAGGGGTTAATACTGGGAGAGCAACAGGCTGGAGTTGACACTTGCAGGCAGGCGGGGCTGCCGGCGCCTGATTGGCCTCAAATCGTATCCAAAAGTGGGTTGGGGTTGGTTTTTTTTTTCGTTTTTTCCCCTTTTTTTTTTTTTTCCTTCTCTGCTTCTTCATCTTTTTTTTTTTTTCTTCTTCTTTTTTTTTTTTCTTTCCCTGGTTTGGGGGGATATTTTTGATTTTTTTTCCTTTTTTTTTTTCGGTCGCGTTTTTTTTTTTTTTTTTTCTCTCTCTCTCTCTTTCACTTCTCCTCCTCCCCCAGGCTCCGGCTGGCAGGGGAGGGGAGTGGGGAGAACAGCGAGAGATCAAAAATAAACCTCTTATGTCAAAGCCGGGGGGAGAAAGTATAAATACAGCGGGCTCGGCGGCCGGCGCGGAGGCTGCGGGGGAAGAGCCCGGGGGGTGCGGGGCCGTGCCGTGCCGGGATGGGGCGGCGGGCGCTGCTGGCCGGCCGGGCCCCGCTCCACCTGCTGCTGCTGTGCCACGCCTGGGCGCTGCCGCCGCCGCCCCCGCGGGACACGCAGCCCGTGCTGCCCGCCCGCCTGCCCGCGCCCCCGGGGCAGCTGGCCCTGCGCCTGGCCGCCTTCGGCCGCGCCGTGGTCCTGCGCCTCCGCCCCGACACCACGTTCCTGGCCCCCCGCCTCCGCCTCCAGCGCCTGGGCGGCCGCCGCCCGCCGACGCCGCCGCGCCGCGGCTGCTTTTACGCGGGCGCCGTCGAGGGCAGCCCCGACGCGCCCGCCGTGCTCAGCACCTGCGGCGGCGGCGGCGGGCTGCGAGCCGCCTTCCTGCTGGACGGGGCGGCCTACGAGCTGCAGCCGCTGGGGCCGGCCGCGCCCGGGCCGCCCTGGGGCCGCCTGCACCGCCTGAGGCGCCGCGCGGCCCCGCCGGGAGCGCGCCCCGCCAGCCCCGGGCCCGAGCCCGCGCCGCGCCGCAGGGCCCCGCGCTTCGTGTCGCAGGCCCGCTATGTGGAGACGCTGCTGGTGGCTGACGCGTCCATGGTGCGCTTCTACGGCGAGGACGTGGAGGTAAGGGCTGGGTGCGCGCCGTCCCCCTGCCCGCAGCCTTCTGTCCGTGCTTGTGCCGCTCCTGTCTCTCCATCCTCCCGTCCCTTGCTGTCCCCGTCCCGGCCGCCTCTCCGCCTCCTCCCACTGCCTGTCTGTAGCCTTCATCCCTCTGTCCTCCCTACACACGCATCCCTTCATCCCGCTCTGTCCTGTCCCCATCCCCGCTGCCTCTCCTCCTCCTCCTCCAGCCCTTCTGCCTCTCCGTCCCCTCCTGTCCTGCCCGCTGCCGGGTCCCCTCAGCCCCGGGACACCGGGGACAGCTTCGGGTGAGCGAGGGACCTCGGTCCTGCCTTCCCTGGCTGTGTGGGCTGCCAATCCCCGGTGCTGATGTGTGGGGCTCACTCAGTTTGGAAGCCTTTCCCAGCCCCGTGAGCCTGGCTCTCTCTGCACACACGGGCACTGCGATGTCCCTGCAGCCCCAAGGTGTCCCCGAGGTGCGGGACAGGGCGGGTCAGTGCCCTTGTGCTGCGAGGGAAGAGCCGCAGGAATGGCCTTAAGTCCCTTCCGAGTGGAGCCGGGGCCAGTGGTAAATGCAGCAGGGGCTGGGTAATGCACAGCCCCGCTCCAGAGCCACCTGTTAGCGCTGAGCAGATGGACGAACAGCCCTTCCCCTCAGCCACCAGCGACTCTCACCCTCCCTGAACACTCTCTGCAGAGATCCTGCCCCAACCAGGAGCAGAGTCCGAGGTGCCTCAGCCCCCACACCCCTCTCCAGTCCATGTTCATCCATTCAGGGCTGCCTCGTTCATCAGCACCGGGTCATTTTTCAAAGCCAGCTCCCCACCCCTACCCTGCAGGCATGGCTGCTCCAAATTCAGCTCCAAATTCAGGTTTGCCCCGTCGGAAACGCTCTGCGGTCTTTGCAAGGGATAATTGTGCATTGAAGTTGCTCCTTTTCGGGTTGTTTGGGCTGCGAGAAGAGTCCTTAAAGCTGGAGCTCAGCAGGGAGCAGTTGGGAAGCTGAAACCAGAGGCTGCACTTTGCAGCCTGGCTTTGCCACTTTTACCGGCTTTATCCTTCCCCTAGGGGCTTCTCTGCTCCTAACAAAGCAATGTTTTAATTCCAGCCCTGCTCAGGCCAGGCTGGACCTTGGCAAATGCTAAACCTTGGGGCTTCAGATGATTGCAGCTGCTCAGCATCGCTCTGGTTTTGCCCTTTGCTTGGTTTTGCCACCCAGCCAGGCTGGCAGGATCAGGTAGCAGAGGGTCAGTGAGCGAGGAGGGGTGATGCACTTGGAGGTACCCCGAGTGCTCAGAGGGCTCAGAAAAGAGTTTGAAGTGGAGTAAGCTGAATTTTTAAGCAACAGACATATAAATGTGGTGGGAATTACTCTCCCCACAGTGTGAAGTTGGTCTCTGATTCCCCAAGAGGGCAGAAAAAATAATACAGGGAACCTTCTGCATCCAGCTGGGCACCTGATGGCTTGAAGGCAACACCCAAGGGTGTCTACATTGCTAGAAATAAAATGATTTATTTGGACTGGGGGAAATCCTGATGATGCCCAGCTTGAGCTGGGGAAAAAGCAGCAGCCCTCTGGGTAAATCTGTGAAGGCAGCAGGAGAGGAAATGGCACCTACCCATGACCAAGGGGCTGGAACTCAGGCACCCTGCCCTGGTTTGGCTGCCCCAGCCCTGGGCTGGGTGGTGCTGCCTGCTTGGCTCCTGTTTCGCCATCATTTCCTCAGCCCCTAGAGCAATATCTTCACATCATCTCTCAGGGAGGGCAAGGAAACCTTCAAAGATCTTGTTTTGGATGAATAGAGTAAAAGCATATTGAAATATTTGGGAGAAAACTTCCACCAGCTCTGGTGTAGCAGCTAAAAAAACAACAACCAAAAAACCACCTGCTGTGTTTCTGTGTCTTTTGTTCTCTGGAACAAGAATGCAGGGAGCAGCACAGCAATCTTGCTTCTGCCTAAATACCTTTCTTGTGGGGTGAAAAAAGCAGTGGCAAGTGCTGGTGAGATCTAGGAGAGATGCCCAAGGAGTAGAATTGTTGAGTCAGAACAAACCATATTTATATAATGACTTTTCTTCCCGTAACCACACTTTAATTACCAAATATTTATTAAAGGTCACCAGCATTGTTTGTATTCCCAGTTATTTTCTTGCATAAGTTGTAACAGCTTGAGCAGAAGAGTCACCCCAAGATGCACTCAAGCGTTGAGAGTTATAATCAATGCCATGCTTGTGGTGGGAAGATGCTGTTCATGATTTATTTCCCATCAATTTCAGCATTATAACTCAGCTGTTAACCTAATTTAGACAACCAGAGCTTATTCTACCTTCATCAGTACTTTTATGTAAACCAGGAGGGAATGGTGAGGTGAGAGCAGAACTAAACCTGAAATTTGGGGATTTAAGTATTGTTTGGGCTTGATGGTTTGGGTATTTGGGGGGGCATCAGCAGCAGGATAGTGCTGGGCAGTAAATCCTGGGGGATGTGGCAGGGTTCAACCTGCAGGGACTGGGAAGAGCCCTCTGATGTAGGGGTGTCCAGGCTGGACACTTTTGCATTTTTCTTGCAGAGGATCCCAAGTGCTTGAAAACAAAGGGGCTGTGAGCATCACTAACAGAGTAAAGTGGGGTTTTGAGCAAGGAAACTGAGGCAGGGGACAGGGCTAACCCTGCCTGTGTGCAGGAAGGCTGAGCACCTGCAGCTGGGCTGCACTTGTGAGGCTGCTCTGCACGGCTGGGAACGTTTGCCAGGACACCTAAAGCACCAAGCAGCTCCAAAACCCAGCTGCAGCATCCCCAGCCAGTTGGCAGCCAAAGGGGATTCCTGTGGTGGGATTTCTCCAGTCTCTTGGGTGCAGATGAGACACATTTCCAAGCTTTCCTCTGCAAGCACAATGGCTGTGATCCCCTTTCCCTCCTCCTCTCTGAGTGAGGAATCTTCCCTTCCTGACTCCCAGGGCCGGGAATCACTGAGGACCACAGCAGAATCAGATCAGTCTGGAGAAGCTGGGATTCCTTGCTGGGATTCCTTCTGTGGTTTTTCCAGGCAGATTGATGAGGTTTTTTAGGAGTGCTGTTGCAAACCCTTCCCTTTCAGACCAGACAGGAGTGCAGGGCACGAGGCATTGCCAGGGTCCTGCTGCCAGCTCTCCCCACATGGACTGGAGGTAAATCCAAAATCAGGGCTCTCCCATTTCCACATGGACTGGGGGTAAATCCAAAACCAGGGCTCTCCCACACCCATATGGACTGGAGGTAAATCCAAAACCAGGGCTCTCCCACACCCACATGGACTGGGGGTAAATCCAAAGCCAGGGCTGTCCCCACACCCACATGGACTGGGGGTAAATCCAAAGCCAGGGCTCTCCCATTCCCACATGGACTGGGGGTAAATCCAAAGCCAGGGCTCTCCCACACCCATATGGACTGGAAGTAAATCCAAAGCCAGGGCTCTCCCATTCCCACATGGACTGGGGGTAAATCCAAAGCCAGGGCTCTTCTATTTCCACATGGACTGGGGGTAAATCCAAAGCCAGGGCTCTCCCACACCCACATGCACTGGGGGTAAATCCAAAGCCAGGGCTGTCACCACTCCCACATGGACTGGAGGTAAATCCAAAGCCAGGGCTCTCCCACACCCACACAGACTGGAGGTAAATCCAAAACCAGGGCTGTCCCACTCCCACATGGACTGGAGGTAAATCCAAAGCCCCCCAGGAGCCCCAGGTCCCCTCGTGTCTGGTTCTTAGCCTTGCTTTAGGGTATTTTGCAGTGTGAGTGGGTACATTCACTTAATCCCTTGAGAAAAGAAGGCAGCTCCTCCTAAGCCCATCCCAAAGGCAGCAGGAGTGGGATTAAAGGGGATGCAGCATGATGCTGCCACCCACCAGCTTTTCTTCTGGGATTTGTCCTCTGAGGGTGACCCAGAGCCTGCATCCTGTGTGGGGCAGGGGCTGGAGGAGCAGGCAGCCCCCTAAATGTTCCTCTGGCTGGGGCACTCACCTCACACCAGGACATTCAACAGCTGCTGCATTTCAGGATTCACAATGAAATGTGCTGGCTCCCACTGAAGCAGCTCCATGCTGGCTCCCAAAGTGGAGCACTCCTGCTCTGGGATGCTCTCAGGATGGGGTTTGACTCCATCTCTGCTTCTGTGGAGGTGGGGACAGTCTGGATGTGCCTCAGTTTCCCCTGCCCTGAGCAAGGCTAATTGCTGCTTTTGTGGTTCAGCCTCAGATATCCAGCAGGGAGGGGAAGAGAAGGGGGGAAATCATGTGGCAAACAGAGCAGGGATGGGCAGAGAGCTGGGCAGGCAGGAGGGCAGCCAGGCACAGCAGCAGGCTGGCAAGGTGTGCCCCTCTCCCCTGGCTTGCCCCCATTCCCTTGGGGGGAAATTCCCTTTTTGTGAGGGAATTCTTGGCCCAGAGGAGCTGGCAGGGCAGCCAGCAGCCCCTGGGCACCCCAGCCAGGCAGGGAGCTCCACATGGGGAAAGGACAACCTGAGATGTTTTTACCAGCAGATTTTTAAAAGCTGGGCAGCCTTTCTATCCCTGGATTTGCTCCCTTCCATCTGCCTGTGCTCCAGAATCTCAGCTTTTCTTTCTTCTGCAGAAGTGCTGGTTTTTAGGGAGAAAATAGCCAAAAACCCCAATGAAATCCAACCAACAGACAATCCCACAGCCCCAGGCTGGGCTGAACACTGCTCCCCACACCTTGGGGGGAGCCAGGTTGTGCTGGGGTGTTCTGTGGGTGCTCCCTGCTGTCCCTCTGTCCTGGTGGGTTAAATCATTAAATCATTCTGTGCATTAAATCATTCTGTGCATACCACAATAATAGTGCCTGTGTAAGAGCAGTTTCACCCATCAAAATAATAATAATAATTAAAAATAAATGCCAGGTTCAGCTTCTGAGTGGTTCCCATGAAACGGAATGCAGGCAGAGACGTTGCAAGAGCCTACATCAGAAAACTCAGTCCTTCAATGAGGGTAAAGACAACCACTTCAGGTCCCCTTGCCCTGATTTGTATTTATTTTTCCTGTCCCTCTGCCTGTGCTGTTTGCTGCTGGAGGGCAGTGCCTGGCTCAGGGCAGGCTCTCCCGGACACAGTGATGCTGTGGCAGGAGGATCTCAGAGCTGCTGTGTGGCACACAAAAGTCATCTCTCCTGTTTTTTAGGGGGAATTTGATGTTGAGAGCAGAGGGAGCCCAGGATTGCAGCTGGGGGGAAAAGGGGTAGGAGATTTGTTGGATATCACCCTTCACAGTGCCTTCAATGGCAGTGAAGGGATGCTCCACAACCCTCTCTGGTTCACACTGGTGTCCTCTGCCCCCAGAACAGTAAGAGGCTGATTTTCCAGCTGTGTTTACCAGACATCCTGCCAGATCTCCCAGGATGCTGATTGGAAATGGCAGGGAAGCTTCTTGTGCCTGCAGGGCTGCAGTGCCTGGCAAGAAAGCACAAACCAGTGTGTTTGCAGCCCTGGGCTCCTCAAACTCATCCCAAAACACTGCCCAGTGTGTTTGCAGCCCTGGGCTCCCCAAACCCAGCCCAGAACACTGCCCAGTGTGTTTGCAGCCCTGGGCTCCTCATACTGATCCCAAAGCACTGCCCAGTGTGTTTGCAGCCCTGGGCTCCTCATACTCATCCCAAAGCACTGCCCAGTGTGTTTGCAGCCCTGGGCTCCTCATACTCATCCCAAAGCACTGCCCAGTGTGTTTGCAGCCCTGGGCTCCTCATACTCATCCCAAAGCACTGCCCAGTGTGTTTGCAGCCTTGGGCTCCTCAAACCCAGCCCAAAACACTGCCCAGTGTGTTTGCAGCCCTGGGCTCCTCATACTCATCCCAAAGCACTGCCCAGTGTGTTTGCAGCCCTGGGCTCCTCAAACCCAGCCCAGAACACTGCCCTGCACCTGATCCCAATCTCCACATCCTCAGGCTCAGTGCTGGGAAGGAAACCCTGGAGAAGGCAGCGTTCCCTCCTGGGTGAATGGTTGAGCCAGAGCCGGTTTGCAAAGGCAGAGGGAGGATGGGACCAGCAGGATTCAGCCCTTCTCCAGCCTGTTCTTGGCCGAAAGCACTCAGCTGGCCTCTCCTGAGCTCTGAGGATCCGTAATTTGCTTTTGGCCATGGCTTCAAGCCCTTGGCTAAGCCAAGGCAGTGCAGGTGGATTTGCTGCTCTCCCCAGAGCAGTCAGGGTCCATCTGAAACCCAACCCATTCCTGCACGGGCCAGGGATGGGTATAAATAGACACCAGATGGTGGAACAAGTGGATTTGACCTTTTAATCTTCACTAAATAGCTGTTTGTTGGGTTTGCTTTCCATCTTCCCTTTCCAGACACAGGGAAGGTGGACAGATGTTTTCCAAGTCCCTCTGTTCCTACTGCTGAAAGAGGTTTTTGGCTAGATGTAGCCCTGAGGATGTGAGGGCTGGTGTCCTGGGGGATTTGTGGTATGAACTGATATCTCCCAGGTCAGATCTACTGCTATGGACAGAAACCTCTAATGGGTTAGAAAAGGACACAGATTTATTCCCTTGGAAATGAGGGATGATCCTAGGATGAGCAGCTCCAGCACAGAGCATCCTTCTAGAGCTTCAGGGGCCTACTTTTAAGAAGGCTTTGTGATATTTTTAGCAAAGTTCCCGATGGACTTTCCCCACAGGGTGAACAATTCCCCCAAGTTTCATGGAATTGAAATTGAAATTGAAATTGAACCCTTGTGGGGTTCTCTCCTCAATTTCTTGCCTCTGCAGTGACTTCTCTGTGACATGAGTTGCATGGATGTGAGTCATGGCATGGAGATCTGGCCAGTCTAAATAAACCAGTCTATTCCCTGCTCCCAGCAGCCTTGCTGGGGCCTGCCCTTGGATAATGAGCTGGGGAGGACTTGGGATATGTCTTGTAGAAACAAAACATCTGTTTACGTGGAGCTGCCAGTGGCGGGATAAAATGTGGCAGAATAATTTAAAATAGACACAAGTGCCCTGGGCAAGTGGCTCTTGGTGCAGCAAATATGCTGTATCTCACTCAGCATCTCCCTCATTTGCTAAGAAAACAGCATTTTGTGTCTCAGGAAATGGCATTGTCCTGGCAATACCGTGATGGATGAGCACACACAGTCAGCTTTGCTGAGGAAATGTATTTTGGGTGAAACTTGGCTATCAGAGAGGGCTCCCACCGAGTCCTTCCACTTTAATTAGGCTCTGAATTGAGACTGCAGGGTGTAATTTGTCTGGGGAGGAGAGAAGCCACTTTCTCTTTCCCAATACCATGTTGTGTAATAGCTGCATTTTTTACTCCTGACTCGGGGCTGTGAGTGGTGCCAAGCAGAGGAGGAATTTTGATGCTCTGATAAGATGTTTACATCAGCCTAAACATGGCTGGCGCTGGCGCTTTTGACATATTAAGTAATCCCTGCTCATCACCAGGCAGGAGATGCTGCTGGGCAAAGTCTTGGCTGTCAAAGTGTTTTAGTCCCAGTTTGTTGCTGGGTTCAAACCCTGTGAGCAGCACAGGCAGAAGTTTTACTAGGTGGTTTTGCTCCAGCAAGGTGTGTGTGTGTGTGTGAGTTGGTTCCTGCCCTGGGGCAGCGAGGGCAGGGTTAATGCCCTTTGGGAATATGCAGAGAACTCTCCAAAATGCTGAGGTTTTCCCCAAGGATTTTCTTCCAGAGGGATTTAGGTGCAAAGGGTTCATGGGAGAGGAGACACAGCATTTGCAGAAGGGGATGCAGGGCTTGTCCACCAGCACAAGGTGTAAAGCATCACATACAGGAGAGGCAGCACTGAGTCCATCAGCCTATGGTCTGGACGTGATAGGCTTCATAAATGAGGCTGATTCTTTCTTTTTAAACAAAAACAATTGCCCTGTAGCAGAGGTTTTACCCAGGCTCTGCCTGCCCATCTCTTCCCCCACAGAACCACATCCTGACCCTGATGTCCATGGCAGCTCGCATCTACAAGCATCCCAGCCTGAGGAACTCCATCAGCCTGGTGGTGGTGAAGGTGCTGGTGGTGGAGGAGGCAGCAGCAGGGCCCGAGGTGTCTGACAATGGTGGCCTCACCCTGCGCAACTTCTGCAGCTGGCAGCAAAGGTTCAACCCCCCGAGCGACCGGCACCCCGAGCACTACGACACCGCCATCCTCCTCACCAGACAGGTCAGCAGCCCAGGGCAGGAGGGAAAGGGCTCAAGGAGTTCCTGGAGGGGGAGAAGGGGGTTGATGGTGGAGGTGGGTGCCCCACTGTGCAGAGAATGCAGCACAGCAGTTGGGGTGGTGCCATTTGGGGTGCAGCCCTGTTGCAGTATGAGCTGACTGGTACTGAACATTAATCCAGTTATAAATAAGAAATCCAGCCCAGTGCCATAAGCCAGCCTCTGGGCTGACTGACAGAGGTTTCAATCAATAACAACTCTCCTAAAATACAAACATTTGACTGGTTCAGAGTCAGGGGGTGTAGAGATTAGACCAATGGCTGTTTAGACCTGGGAGCTTTGAATTTCCTGTAAGAGCAAGCCCAAACAATAAATCAGGCTCTTTGGCTGATAAACAACCAAGGTCTGTCATGTGTTCTATCTCAGACATGTGAACATCACATCATATCACAGACCTGTTACCGTGTTCACAGGGGTCCGAGGATGAGGGAAGAGACGAGGATCTGACTCCATGTTTCAGAAGGCTGATTTATTATTTTATTATATATATTATATTAAAACTATACTAAAAGAATAGCAGGATTTCATCAGAAGGCAGGCTAAGAATAGAAAAAGAAAGAATGATAACAAAGGCTTGTGTGTCAGACAGAGAGTCCAAGCCAGCTGGGCTGTGATTGGCCATTAATTAGAAACAACCCCATGAGACCAATCCCAGATTCACCTGTTGCATTCCACAGCAGCAGATAACCATTGTTTGCATTTTGTCCCTGAGGCCTCTCAGCTTCTCAGGAGGAAAAACCCTAAGGAAAGGATTTTCCATAAAAGATGTCTTTGGCACAGACCAGCAGTGGGTTGCTCACAGAGATGTTGGGGCTGAGCATGGGGCCCCCTCTCCCTGCTGACCTCTCCCCCTGCCTGGCACTAACAGGATTTCTGTGGCCACCAAAGCTGTGACACTCTGGGCGTGGCGGACATCGGCACCATGTGCGACCGCAACAAGAGCTGCTCCGTGATCGAGGACGAGGGCCTGCAGGCAGCCTACACCCTGGCTCATGAACTGGGTAACACTGGCTCCCTTCCCAAGGGGAGCTCTGCTTCTTCCTGTCCTGCTGCTGGGAGGGGTCATGGCACAGCCCAGCACCAGCATCTCCTGGCTGGGGATCACCCACTGAGCCTTGAGGAGCTTCTGGCACTGATAAAAGCTGGGTTGCACCAGGAGAAACACTAAGTGCCCAACTTGGTGTAAATTGGTGCATTTGAACCAGTTCAGGAAGCATTTCTTCACTGGAAGGGTTGTTGAGCATTGGAAGGGGCTGCCCAGGGAGGTGGTGGAGTCCCCATCCCTGGAGTCGTTGAAGAAATGCCTGGACCTGGCACTCAGCGCTCTGGGCTGCGTGACAAGGTGGGGGTCAGTCACAGGTTGGACTTGAGGATCCTGGAGGTGTTTTCCAACCCCAGTGATTGTATGATTTACCTGTTGTGATGTGCTCAGGCATGGGATCCAGCATGTCTCTGCCTTGGTTTGCCATTTCTGCACTGAGAATTTTTGCCCAGAGAAGCTGTGGCTGCCCCATCCCTGGGAACATTCAAGGTCAGGTTGGACAGGGCATGGAGAAACCTGGTCTAGTGGAAGGTGTCCCTGTAAATGACAGGGAGTGTAGCCTTAATTCCCTCCCATCCCAAACCATTCTGAGTTTATAAAAATTTGGGCTCCTTTGCCCTGCACACCTGTACCTCTGAGACAGACCAAGCAGGTTTTTATTCCTTCTGATTTATGGAAGCAAATAGCTTTGGCAGACATAGGAGCTGCTTGATACTTTACAGCTGGTGCCCCACACCATCTGCTGAGGAGCAGGGGCTGGGGAGCTCAGCTGTGCCATGCTCTCTGCTCCCCAGGCCACGTGCTCAGCATGCCCCACGACGACTCCAAGAACTGCGAGCGGCTCTTCGGGCCCCTGGGCGAGCACCACGTGATGGCCCCGCTCTTCATCCACCTGAACAAGAGCCAGCCCTGGTCCCCGTGCAGTGCCATGTACCTCACTGAGTTCCTGGATGGAGGGCATGGTAAGGCTCCAGTCTGTTGTATTTGTGGGGTTCCCAGATGAAGGGAGGAATGATCAATCTGACTCCATGTTCTTAGAAGGCTAATTTATTATTTTATGATACTAGATAATATTAAAGAATAAAGATTAAAGAACTTCTGCACTATACAGGGGTAGCTTCTGGCACTATACTATACTTCTACACTGTACTAAAGAATACAGAAATGATACTTACAGAAGGCTAAAAGATAATAATGAAAACTCATGACTCTTTCCAGAGTCCTGACACAGCTTGGCCCTGATTGGCCAAAGAGTGAAAACATTCACAGCAGAAACTGATGAAACAATCACCTGTGGGTAAACAATCTCCAACCACATTCCAAAGCAGCAAAACACAGGAGAAGCAAATGAGATGATATTGTTTTCCTTTTCTCTGAGGCTTCTCAGCTTCCCAGGAGAAGAATCCTGGGCAAAGGGATTTTTCCAGAAAATATGACTGTGCCACCAGTCAGCTACAGCATCTCTCAAAACAGCCTTTTCTTAGCTCAGGCTCTTTTCTGTGCCTGGAGGGGGTGTGGGGTGAAGGGGGAGTCAAACCAGGCCATGGACAGAGGTGTGGGGTGCCCTGCTTGGTGCAGTCAGTGGCACCAAGCCCTGGAGCTCCATGTCCAGCCTAACTCTGAGCCTTGCCCAGGTGACTGCCTGCTGGACGCCCCGGCCGAGCCCGTGTCCCTGCCTGCCGAGCTGCCTGGCCAGAGAGCCCTGTACAGCCTGGACCAGCAGTGCCAGCAGATCTTTGGCAAGGACTTCCAGCACTGCCCCAACACCACGGAGGAGGACATTTGTGCCCAGCTGTGGTGCAGGATGGGCAGTGGGGAGCCCCTCTGCCACACCAAGAATGGCAGCTTGCCATGGGCTGATGGAACCCCCTGCAAAGCCGAGGGGCTGTGCTGGGATGGGCGCTGTGTGCAGCAGGATGCCCTGAAACCCCAGGTAAGGGGACACCAGGGAATGCTGGTGTCCAGGTGCACTCCAGGCACCCACCAAATCCTCCCTCTCACTCCCCTCCACAGCTGGACAGGGAAGGTTCATGAGTTGAGATAAACACTGTGAGAAGTTACTCACCAATCACCATCACAGGCAAAACAGGCTCAAGTTAGAGATGTTAATTGAATTTATTAGTAGCAAAATCAGCACAATGAGAAGTAAAATAAGACCTTAAAAACACTTTTCCCCCAAACCTCCCTCCTTCCCAGTCTCCCTTCTGTCTCCAGTGGTGCAGGGAGGCAAAGAATGGGGGTTGTTGTCAGCTCATCATGGGCTGTTCTTGCTGCTGCTCAGGGAGAGGAGTCAGAGTCCTTCCCTCCCATGAGAGACAATTCTCCATGAATTTCTCCATGAGTCCTTCCCATGGACATGTTCTCCACAAACTGCTGCCATGTGGGTCACTCTTCCTCAGGGTTAGTCCTTCCAGGACAGGCTGCTCCACTGTGGGTCTTCCACAGGCTCCCAACTCCTTCCAGCATGGGTTCCTCTCTCCACAGGTTCTATCAGGATCCTGCACCAGCTCAGGTTTCTCACAGGGTCACAGCTTCTTTCAGGCATCCCCCCTGCTCTGGCCTGGGTTCCTCCATGGGCTGAGGAGGATCTCAGCTACCCCATGCCCTCCATGGGCTGCAGGGCCAAAGCTGCCTCACAATGGTCTTTTCCACAGAATTTTGGGGAATTCTCAGCTCCAGTACTTGGAAGAATCCTTGCCTTTGCTCCTGCACTGTCCTTGGTGTCTGCAGAGCTGTTCCTCTTACATTCTCACTCCTCTCTTCTCTACCTAATTACATTTCCCTAATAATTTTTTTTTCTTCTTAAATACATTATCCCCAAGGTCAACACCACATCTGCTGGGCTCAGCCTTGGCCAGTGGTGGGTCCATCCTGGAGCTGGCGTTGGCTCCACTGGACACAGCGGGAGCTTCTGGCAGCTGCTCACAGAAGCCACCCCTGTATCCCCCTCCACAAACCCCATACAGCTGGGCTGGGGCTTGACCCTTTGGGATTTCCAAATCTCTGACCCCACCCCTGCTGTCTCTTTGGCTGGCTTTGGATTGGGCTGGTTTATTTCTGGATGTCTCTCCTTCATTAATATTTATTACTGGCGAGTCCAGCTCATAGACAAAACTCTGCTACCGAGCCATGGGCTGGTCTGAACCAAAACAAGCAGTGTGGATCTGCAATTAAATCACAACTTTTTGCCCTGCTGGGGAAATTAGCAGCAGTTTCAGAGTCAGTCAGCAAAGTACTCAAAGCCCAGCTTAACTTGAAGCATGCAAATGGACCAGTGGAAGTCAGTACTAACTTTGTGTGAAGTACGTGCCAGAGCACTTTTCTGGATCAGGGCTGGGGGAGATTTTAGCATTGCTCCAGCCCTGGGAGGGAGCAGCTGGGCATGGGCAGGCTCAGGGCTGGGCTCAGCAGCTTCTTCTGTATTGGAATAATACCAATATAGCCAGATAGGACGTGCCTGGCCTTGTCTGGCCCTTGCTGCTTGACCAAAAGGCGGCAGCTGTGGTGATTTCACCCCAGAGACACTTTTGGCTGGCTGGGTGTGTGGTGTTTCACCCCACAGACACTTTTGCCTGGCTGGGTGTGTGGTGATTTCGTCTCAGAGACACCTTTGGCTATCTGGGTGCTGCAGTTGGGCGCTTGGAGGGAAGTCCAGACATTCAGGAGCTCAGTTTTACCTTGGCGGAGAAGCTTTAAGGCAATGGTGAAGGAAAGGAGTCGGTTCTGATGGAGGGTTTGGATCCAGAGCTTTATTCTGGCCCACAGCCTCTGAATGCAGCACCAGCTCCAACAGAACTCCCTGAGCCCATGGTTGCTGTTCCTGTTAACCCTGGGGAGAGGGCAGGGAAGGGGCATGGTGGGGCTACCAACCAGGTAGGAGGGGAAGTCTCAAGGGACAAAGGACACCTGGATGGCCCAATGTCCTCCAGGGATGAAGGGCATCTTTTGAATTCTGCCAATCACTCCACGCCCTTCTGGAATTCCAGGACTGACAGACAGTGCTGGGCAGGGGGCAGGGAAGGGGGAGGGAGAGGTGACTGACACTCCTGGGGAAGAAATCTTGAGGGAGAAGCCCGAGGTACCTGAGGCAACCCATGACATCTCACCACAACCCTGGTGCCCTTGCAGGCGGCGCTGGACGGCGGCTGGGGCCCCTGGAGCGCGTGGGGCGCGTGCTCGCGGAGCTGCGGGGGAGGGATCCAGTTCTCCCACCGGCACTGCGACAGCCCCCGGCCCCGGCACGGCGGCAGCTACTGCCAGGGCCAGAGAGCCAAGTACCAGTCCTGCCACACCCAGGAGTGCCCGCCCGATGGTAAGGATGGCCATGCCCACGCCTGCTGCTCCAGAGCGTGCTACAGGCATTGCTCTGCTCTCCCTTGGATATTCATATCTGGGGGAGCAACAGCTTCCTGCTGGGGGCTGTGACCTTCTGTGAGTGATGGAAGGAGTGTGGGATCCCTCCTTCGTGACATTCCTCCCCTGCTTGCACCCTCGCTGCGTGCTCTCACTATCCTAACCTCACTCCCACCTCTCTGCGATGGCCAGGGACAGCAGCTCCTGCCAGCTTCCCATGGATTTTGGGCCATGTTTCACCCTTCCTTTCAGGGAAAAGCTTTCGGGAGCAGCAGTGTGAGAAGTACAACAGCTACAACTTCACTGACCTGGAAGGGAATCACTTGGAGTGGGTTCCTAAGTACGCTGGAGTGTCCCCCCGAGACAGATGCAAACTCTTCTGCCGAGCCCGAGGGAGGAGCGAATTCAAAGTCTTTGAGGCCAAAGTAAGATTCCTGATGATATGAATCCCCAAAGTAAGATTTCTGGAGATGGGAATCTCCAAAGTGAGATTTCTGGAGATGGGAATCTCCAAAGACTCCTTGTGATGGGAATCTCCAGAGATAGATTCCTGGAGATGGAATCACCAAAGATAGATTCCTTTAGATGGGAATCTCCATAGTAAGATTCCTGGCGATGGGAGTCTCCAAAGATAGATTCCTGGAGATGGGAATCTCCAAAGATAGATTCCTGGTGATGGGAGTCACCAAAGTAAGATTCCTGGAGCTGGGAATCACTCCTGTTTACCCCATGTCAGACCTCATGGCCTGGTTCCTCCTGTGCATCCCCTTTCCCAGGTGATCGATGGCACGCTGTGTGGCCCAGAGACCCTCTCCATCTGTGTGCACGGGCAGTGCATCAAGGCTGGCTGTGACCACGTCATTGGCTCCTCCAAGAAGCTGGACAAGTGCGGGGTGTGCGGTGGCAATGGCTCCACGTGCAGGAAAATATCCGGCTCGCTCAACAGATCCAGGTGAGGCACCAGGAAGAAGGTTCTGCAGGGATGGGCTGTGGGAGAAACACCAGCATCCTCTCTCATTCCCCTTTTTCTATCACTAAACTTGTAGGCTTGGAATATATTAGGATCCAAGCCAGCATCCTCAGTTGGCTGGCATTGCAAGAGCCTGGGCTCCTCCCCAGACTCTGGGACTTAAGCTCAGTTTATTTTGGGGCAGAATTATACAAGCCAAGTAGAGCGTATTTCCTAAAATAATAACTGGTGTGACGGGCTCGGTACACCACTGCAAATAAATCTGCTGCCCCAACGAGTTTACAAAACACATTTCACACCAGTGCACTGAATTGGACACATATTCCAGGGCTGATGGTGATATAAATGTTCAGTAACCTTTCCCTAGGCTTGGGGGGAATTTGAATGCTGGGACAAGGACACTGGGGCAGTCACTTCCCTCACCCAACAGATTTGGGAATTCTGCTTTGCCAAAGAGCAGAATTTAAGGCTTTTGTTGGAAAACCGTAACAAAAGCCCAACCGTCCAGTTCCATGCAGCGAGGTGACTCAGTCAAATCAGATTTCCTAAATGGTTTCCTTCCAGGGAACAGCTGAAACAGGGCTTCCACTCTCCTATGAGTTGTTTGTGGTTGACTAAATGGAGATTAGCACAGGAGCTACAGCCAAGAAGAGATCCCATTAAGATCAGGGTGAGGGAGGCCAGGGTGACGGAGAGCAGAGTTTGACTCAAAGGCTTTTTTCCAAAATACTCTGAACCTAATTACTGACCGCAGCATCCACCATGGGGATCCGTGGAAAATGATCCTGTGCTGGCCCCACAGTGTGAGTCACAGTGCTGAGGGCTCAGTGCAACCTTCCACGTGCTGTCCTGGGAGCCGTGGTGCTCCAGGGCTGGGCTTTGGCTGGCTCTGCAGGAAAACGCTTCCCTGGCATGGGAATGTCCTCTGTATCCTCCAGTGGGATTACTTCTGCATCGTAGTGGTGGCTGCAAAACCCTTCAGAAAGTGAGCTGAGAGTGCAGAGACTCCCTCCTCTTCTGTTGTTCTACATCTATATCTGTATCTGTACCTACATCTGTATTGTCTCTATGTTATCTCTGTCAATAGGTGATGTCACCCTTCAGCATAACCAGTGACAGGCTTTCAATCCCAAACATTTCACCATTTCCAAATACAGGGAGCAAGGGGAATTTCCCACCTAGGCTGGTAATCACAGGGCTGTCCATTTGATTGCATCACTCATTTTCATACATCATTCAGAGAAACCTTACAGCTGAGCTCACATCTAGAACATCTGCAATATTTCTAACTCTTGAGTGCTTGGGGTTACACAGGGATGGCTTCAGAGCCAGGATCCTGAGTGTTGTGGAAGATGAAACAGGAAAGCCTTATCAATATGATTGTCTGGCAAAAGATTTTGAGAATATAGAAACTATAAGTGAGATTGAAATGAAAGCAAGCTTTGAGATCCCTCAGTTACTGAACAACTGGAAAACAATGGTGTGGCTGAAGGTGATCCCCTTTTGATGGAACAACACCCTCTGCTTGCAGACAGGCCCAAGGGGCAGAGCAGACCCTACAGCTTGGCAGAAGGGGCCCAAAGAGGAGTTTGTAGGGTTTAAAATGTAACACAGGATGGTAACGTAATGACTCTTATAGGCTGTATGTAAATGCTGTAGGATTTGTATCTTGTACTAGATTGGTTAGTGAGAATCAGAATATTCAACACAGAAGAAGATTTATTGTATTGTAATGGGAACCTCACTCTCTCACCCTTCTACGCTCTCACCCTCTCATCCTCTCTCCCCTCTCTTCTCTCAGTCCTGCTCCAGCTGTGCCTGGCAGCTCCCAGCAGGGCCCTGCCCCCAGGCCCTTTGCAATAAACCCCAAGTTCCAGCCCTGGCTGCAGAGATCTCTCATGTCCATCCCACTGTCCTACCCCCCTGACACTCCTACCCTGAGTGCTGTTCCTTACACGAGTGTGTGTATTTTTAGTAAATCTTGCAGAATAACTGTGTCCCTTTGCCCCGTGCAGGTACGGCTACAATGACATTGTCACCATCCCCGCCGGAGCCACCAACATCGACATCAAACAGCGCAGCCACCGGGGGCTCCGGCACGACGGGAATTACCTGGCCCTGAAGACCCTTGAGGGCAAGTACCTGCTCAATGGAGACTTTGCCATCTCAGCCATGGAGCAGGACATCCTCATTAAGGGCACCATCCTGAAGTACAGCGGCTCCATGACCACTCTGGAGAGGCTGCAGAGCTTCCGGCAGCTCCCAGAGCCCCTGACCGTGCAGCTGCTGACCATTGCCAGCGAGGTCTTCCCACCTAAAGTCAAGTACACCTTCTTCATCCCCAAGGATGTCCCTTTCAGCAAGCAGAAGAGCAAAGAGAAGAAGTCAGTCAACGTCATCCGACCGATGCTGACCTCCCAGTGGGTGCTGGGGGACTGGTCCGAGTGCTCCAAGACGTGTGGCTCCGGCTGGCAGCGGCGGACGGTGGACTGCCGGGATGTGGAGGGTCAAACCTCCTCTGCCTGCAACAGATCCCTCAAGCCTGAGGACATCAAGCCCTGTGGAGACGTGCCCTGCCCTCTCTGGCGCCTGGGTCCCTGGTCCCCGTGCTCCCAGACGTGCGGCGAGGGCGTGCGGACGCGCAGCGCCGCCTGCATTGACTACGCCGGGAAAATCACCGCCCCCGAGAAGTGCAGCTCCCCGGGGCCGCCCCCGGCCACCAGCGCCTGCCTGCTGCGGCAGTGCTGAGCCACGCCGGGCTGCGGGAGCCCAGGGTGCCACACAGCACTGGGGCAGGACAGCCAGGGTGCCACACAGCACTGGGGCAGGACAGCCAGGGTGCCACGGGCTAACACAGCACTGGGGCAGGACAGCAAAGGTACCACGGGCTCCACAACACTGGGGCAGGACAGCAAAGGTGCCACAAGCTCCACCACACTGGGGCAGGACAGCAAAGGTGCCACGGGCTCCACCACACTGGGGCAGGACAGCAAAGGTGCCACAAGCTCCACCACACTGGGGCAGGACAGCCAGGGTGCCCTGGGCTCTCTCCTGTGCTTCACCCCCACCACATCGATGTCTACCTCAGAGGGGAGAATAACGGCAGCAAAACAGGGAGGAATCACTTCTTTTCCTTTCTTTCTTCCTTTTCTTTCTGGCTGGCTGCTTGCAGGCAAGTTGTAACATTAAGGGAAAGATAAGCAGATCTCTGTAGGGTGTTTCCAAAGAGCTGGATGTGGCTGCAGATTGCTTTTGTAAGGTTTGCTGGGGTTTGGCACTGGAGAAAATGGGGAGCCTGGTTTTGCTGTCACCCCATCCCAGCTGCAGGTCCAGGGTGGATGTCTTTGCTGATAAAACTGGGATTTCTTCACAAAAGGCATGGAATGGGTTGCCATCCCCTCCCTGCAGCAGTGTGGGTGTCCTTGAGCATGAGGAGTGTTTTATCAGCTGTGGGTTTCACTTGGGAGATAAATTGCTTGTATGAATGGGAGAAAGAGTAAGCTGAGAGTCAGATCCTAGCATGAATCAGGCAGGAGGACAGGTGAGAGCGGTTTCTGCTGGATTTATAATCTACAAGGTGACAAACCTCTGTCTCCAAACACCCCCAGCATCTGTGGTTATTCCTAGAGCTGTTACCCCACACCTCTGTTTCCCCAGCTAAAACACCAAGGCTTAATTACACCTGATCTTACAGGGTCACTGTGAGGATTCATTAATTCCTAATTCTGCAGTGCTGGGACTGTGAAATGCCTATTGTGATGCCCTCTGGAGCAGGCACTCTGGTGTGCCAGCGTTTCCTTTCCCATCCTTGTCCTTCAGTCCCCTGTGGGCTCATTTTTTCAGCTCTGCTGTAATTTTGGAGATAATTCACTAGCCTGGTGTGCAGCAGGGATGAGCCCAGGATCTGTAGATCGTGCCAGAGGTGACCAGTGCTGCTCTTCACCTCTGCTTTCCTGGGATATTTGAGAATGCTCAGATCTGGTGCCAGCTCCAGCCTTGCTTGAGCAGTTCTCGGTGCAGAACCAAGCCTGGCAAGGCTGGAGCTGCTCTTTCCCAGTGGGAAGCAGCCCCAGCCCTCTCCCCAGCCCAGCTGCTGCCTGGCCCCAGCACAGATGGCTGTTCAGACCCTGAACTTTGCCCTTTCCAAAGCAATCACTGGCCATGTGCTGGCAGCAGCCTGTGCCTGGGGAGCAGGGATGGAATTTGGAAAGATTTTGCTATTGCTGGATGAACAATTCAGTATCTCCAGGCTCCTCTCATACCCTGCCTTGGCTTCCTTTTTGGCAGCAAAATGTAGAATTTCCAGTGGGATCTGCCTTTTTCTCATAGGAAGGGGAGGAGGGCTGGAATTTGTGATGTTTCAGATTCCCCATTCACATTTATGGAGCAAATCCTTTTCCTTGTCCCTTTTGCCTGAGTGAGCCAAGCTCGTGTGAGACCCTTTCCTGGCTGTCCAGACAGGATTGGAATGGGATGGTGGGATGAGCTGCTCCTCTGAAAACAGAAACCTCACTATTCACCTGAAAACATGAAATATTCCTGTTTTATCTCCCATACATGATTTCTATCAAAACCACGGGAGCTACAGCCCAGGATTGAGGGTATTGAGTGCTTGGTTCCTTTGGTTTTTTTAGGAAAGGAAAAAAAACCTGAAGGCCAGCTGCAGAGTTTGGATGCAGAGCTGTTTGGGCTGTGGTACAGACCTACCTTTGGGCAATGTTCTACATCTGCTAATTAATCTCCAGGAATTTAAGTTCTAACAAATAGCTGGATGCTAAAGTCATGTAGCCTTGCAGGGTTGTTTTCTTTTTCCCCTCTGAGTCTGCAAGGGTTTTAAACTCCAAGCCAGCATGTGTTTCCTCTCCAGTGTCAGCACCAGCATTTAGGATGGGTCAGGAACATCAGTCTGAGGCAGTGCCAAGGAAAATGTCTGTATTTATCACCCAGGATAATGTGTGCATGCCAAGGGGCTTTTCCAGGTTTTTATAATCACTGTGTGGCTGCTTCACTGGAGCTTCCTCGATGTAAAAACTCCTTGTTTAGGGCAAATCCTGCTGCTTTTCCAGCGAGGGGGAAGGTGGGGATCCCCCAGGAGGGGGGACCAGAGGCAGTGATGCTCTGTTGAGGTGTGGGTGATGCTAAGTGGAATTCCTGCCCCAGGTTTCTGTAAAAACAAGTAGCCTTTACTCTGATTTAAGTCAAAGAGGTTTTATATATTAGGCTATATATATATATATATATATGTATATATATGTTTCCCTTCAGTGAAGGATTGTAGCAATGTACTGAGCCTCTTGTGTTAGGTATTTATTACAAATTTCTGTTTGGTTTTGTACAGTAGCTGTCTGGAAAGGAAAAAAGAGATTAAAAATGTGTTTTAACATGCTGCTCCCACATCCCCTCTCTGGAAGCTGCAGGGAGCTCAGAGAAGGGATGTCTTTGCTCATTGTTTATCCACTCTGGTATCTGACTGGTGTTTCCCTCCTCCCTGGTGTACCAACCAAGCTGTGCAAGCATAACAAACCCAACCAAAATTAAGCTTTGGAATTCATCTTAAGGAGAGGGGGGAAAATACAATTTTCTGATTTTTAGCCTATTGTTTGTATTTGTTTTTAATTTTGAAAACAGTCTGTTTGTGGCTCTGCCTTTACCCCTCAATAAAGGACCTCCTGCCTTTTATCTCTTTGCATTTGTCCTTATTTGCACTTTTCTCAGGACTATTATTATCTGCATCCCAGAGAGATTTTAAATCTCTCTTTTCTGTATCTTATTGATAAGAAACGGTTAATTCAGTTTTAAGATGCTGAACCAAAATATTACATGAGAGAATAGACAAAACCCATGGAGGCAGAATTATTCTGCAGAAATTTGGAAGCAATTCTGTTTTGCAGATGCCTTATGAGCACCTACCTCTTTTCTATACATATACAGTATATCTTTTGGTGTATATTATATACTTATATTATTATATTTATATTATATTATATTATATTATATTATATTATATTATATTATATTATATTATATTATACTATATTATAGATAGTATACTATATTATACTATTATAGATAATATACTATATTAAAATATATAATATACTACAGATAATATACTATATATAACTGATAATATAAAGCTGTATAATATGAACTGTATATAATATATAATATATAATATATTTAAACCATTATAGAACCATATAATATATTGTGTATATGATGTATATATACATCATATATATTATATATGCATAATATACATATTGGACACATAGTATCACAGAATTCTATTATATATCTGTATATACATCATCTATTAGATATATACATGTTATATATCTACATAGAATTCTATTATATATTAATATATTCTATTAATATATTCTACATAGAATCCTATTAATCCATGATAATATATTTATTATATGTATATGTCATATATGTTACATTATACATTATATGTCATATATATTATATATACATAATATATACATGTATATACATAATATATACATATATTCTGTCAGCAAATTTTATACCTCTATGACAATATGTAATAGATAATGGTAATTAATAATTATATTCTAGATAATATATATTTATATACATAATGGGTATATTATGTACATATTATATATACATATGTTCTATACACACAATATAGACATAATACAGACACATTATTTTTATACATAGATACAGAATAGAAATCTGTTCCCACATTTAGATAATTCTGCTCTTTACTAGGACAGACAGCCTAAACAGGACATAAGCAGAGGGGATTCTGACTGCTTCACTTAACTGTGGGATAACCACAGGCAGTGGAATTTGCTGCTCTCTGGATATGTAGCTCTGAAACACTGGAGGGCTACATTTGCTTTATGCCAATGGGAATTTTGGAGCCACCTCGTTGGAATAAACCTGGGCTCATTGCAAGGGAGACAACCTGCCAGCTGTCCTGGGTGAAAGCCCACCCTGATGTCTGCTTTATTTTCTATAAATTATATTATATTATATTATATTATATCATATCATATCATATTACATCATATTCACAGTTACTATTATTACCATTATATTATACCATTATTATAATATACAATACATATACATTATACATGATTACAATATATTATACGTTATATAATATGTATTATACATTTATATAATATATTATACATTACATAATATATTCTGCATATATACAATATATAATATATAATATATATTATATATATTATATATATATAATATATGTCATTTTACATTATTAAAATATACAATATATATACAGAATGTTACATATACATATATATATATATATACACACAAAATTTTATTATTCTAACATTCCACATTACATTATTATTGTCTATATCCTGGGTATTTCCCTGCACTTATGCAGCCAGAAAATGCTGCTGCAGAGGCTGCCTGTGTTCACCCCACCACGGGTTAAGCCAGCACAGGACATGTCCCCACTGCCCCTGCTGCCACCCTGTTTACAGCCAGGTGTGACTTTCATTCCAGGTGACTTCCCTGGCACAGGGACAGGCCCTGCCTTGCAGCTCATTAGGGTGACAGCAGCTCATTAAGGTGACAGCCTGCCCTGGCTTTTCCCCACCTTTTTACTTCCTTGTTTTGTTGCCATCGCTGGGTTTGAGTTGAATAATTTAAACAATGCAAAGGCATTGGGATATTGGATAATATCCCAAGGCTTTGGGATATTACCAGGTAGGGGAAAAGTCCTT